GTGTGTGTTTCATTGATAGGAAAATTTTCTAGAAGAGCTACAAGGACACAAAGATTCTGCCTGGTCTGTTTTATTCTTCAATTTTCATTTAAAAAATAGGTGTATGGGTTTTACCAAGCTGTTGGAATGATTATTTGCTTTCTCTTTTTTAAGTGGAATTTAAAAGGATGAAAAGAGAACTGAAATAAAGATCTTATGCTTTTTTGAATATATATATATGTATGTATATATTTACTTTGTTATTATTAGACTTTAATTTTCGGGTTGAGTGGACTCACCTAATTTCCTCTCTGGCATTTTTAAGCCATCACAGCAGATAAGTGAAAAAATATTTTATTATTTTCTGGTGTTTACTCCGTGCCAGGCAGTGTTCTAAGCACTTGACATATATTAACTCATTTAACACCAACACCCACCCAGAGCCGTAGGTACTGTTATTATCTCCACATGCCATATAAGGAGACTGAAGTACAAAGAGGCTCAGCAACTTGCCCTTTAAGAATGGATCTGGCCCTGGCCGGTTTGGCTCAGCGGTTAGAGCGTCGGTCTGCAGAGACCCGGGTTTGGTTCCCGCTAAGGGCATGTACCTCGGTTGCAGTTTGTCCCTGGCCATGGTTGGGGTTGTGTGGGTGACAACCAGTCGATGTGTCTCTCTCACATTAGTGTTTCTCTCTCTCTCTCTTCCTCCTTCTGTCCCTCCTGCTCTATCTGAAGATAGATGCAACAGTGCCCTCAGGTGAGGATTAAAAAAAAAAAAAGAATGGATCTGGATTTGAACTCAGACGCCCAAGTCTGTGCTCTCAACCATCATATTACCGCCTGCCTCTTTCCTTCGCCCCCCCTTTCTCTAGAATTTCCAAACCAAGGATTAATTTTCATTCTCACTGGCCTTTACTTAATGTGGATTCAGCTCCCAATTTGGGGCTTCTTTTCTGTCTGTTTTTCTTTCTGTGGCCTGATGAAGAACCACGGTTCAGCTTCCCACCAGCCACTGCTGCTCTCTCATGGTCTTCCCGGGGTATCCTCTCCAGCTCTCCAGCCATTTGTGCATGTGTTCCATCAGGACTAGAAGCTGATGCTGTCATAACGGCCTGACCAGTTCTGAGTAAGAAGACATCCACAGTACAACTGCCTCCTGGTTTCTGCGTATATCCTCTACTCCTGTGAATCACGTCCTCTTTTCACTACATTTGCAAAACCACATTCTCTTGCCTTAGCTCTTGTTGTGATGCAGTTTTTTAAATATCTATGAATATGTCTCAGATGTCCCAAGGCCTTTGCATTTGGACTGTAATCTACAAACACATTCACCTCTTCGTGGACCTCATAGAGCATCTCTTCAGGTGATTTATGAAAGTTTATAACTGTGTATCTCAGGCTCTTGAGACACATGGCTATTAATATGTTGAATGTGTAAATTCCCAATGAGCGTAAAACTGTCAGAGACAGTTGTGTGATTCAGTAGGACAGATGGGTACTGTGGACCAGCTGTTGGCACATTATCTTCCTGACTGCACTGCAGGGAAAAGAATAAAGAAAGACTGAGCGCCCTCTCCCGCCGCCGCACACCTGTGCCCTCACCCCATCCCCCACAGTTCCTCTTGACTTGGTGGAACTGCTGGGTGCTCCGCTCTTACTGACGATGGAATCGCCCCGCCCCGATGGATTTTCTGCTCCCAGGCCGAAGATTTCCATGACCTGATTACCGAGTCCCACACAATACTGAGTTGGCAACAGTGAGTGTACAGTGATGGCTGCTGTATATTATTAAGTGAAGAAGAATTTCACAGCATTGAAGTTTGTAAATGCAGTTTCCCCTTTCCATCCTACTCTGCCACAATAACATTTACTGAGTCTGAGGTGGCCGGGGATGGTGGTGAGCAGTCCCCCCATACACATGTTCTTGACTATACTGCAGGTCTGTTTTGTTTTGTTTGTTAATTATGGGTGTTTCTAGGTTGGGTCATTAACCCCTAATGGACCTGACGTCCTCAGAAGCCCCCTAGACTTGGGGCCTCTGGCTGCCACTTCAGTTCCATTGGATCAAGGTCTTGATTTCTTTGCCTGTTTCTTTCTTTGAGAAGAATGTGCATACTTGCTGAAATCGTCTGGAGTATGTCCAGTTAGTGCACCAAGATCCCCTTTTAACTCGCACATTTATGTTCTTGTGACCTTGAACCAGACTCTGGGAACTTTGGCCGGTGGGTTGGAGTTGAGGGGGTGTTTTCCTTCCAGCTGGGAGCTTAGGTGTTCCTGTGGCTTCCTGTTCTTGTCACTGTCACACGGCAGCATTGTGATTTGTCTGTTTCCCTCTGCATTCTCCCGATCTGACTAAAATTGTCCGAGACGATGATGAGCTTGCAGTCCAGGGCTTGGTTTTAGTGTGGTGATAAAATAGCACTCATCTTTGTTTTCCTTGCTTCATCCCTAATATCATACGAAATGGTACTGTTAATATCAATCCAAGGAAACTCTTGGTGTTAATAGGCTTCTAGAATTTGGCCGAGGGACTTAAATACCGTACGGATATATCTGAACAAATGTGATTTCTCAACAGTGGATTTGCAGCCAAGCTCTTTGGAGTACAGCTACCTTCAGTCTAGTTTCACACCTCTGTGCCTTTGTCCCTGTGATGTCTTCCAGGAGTGCCTTTGACCTGATCTGCCCCTGTCGACCAAATGACTCCTCACTCTCAAAGAAGCCAAGAAATCACCTCCTCTGAGAAGTCCTCCCCTACCCTTCTCCCATCCAGAGCTCGTCCCCGTCTTTCCTTGGTCTTACATATACTTGTATTATGCCACATGTACTTCGCTCTAAGAATTTACAAATTACCTAACCTGTTTCCCATGCTAGGCATCAGCTTCTTGGGGCCAAGGTCTATGTCATTTCATTTTGCATTTCTACGGATAATGTGGTCTCAGGAATGTATAAGTGCTAAGTACATGCGGAGTTGTGTTCTGTTCCTTTATGACAGCACTGGGCAGTGGGGCGGTGATAGAATAGAACCCGGGTGGAGAAAGGGATGATTGGAATGACGAGTGGCGGGCTGAGGAGGAGGGGAAAGATGAGATGGGAGCGGCATGCTATCAGGGATGACGTCCTGCCAGTGTGGGCGGTGGCAGGCATTCTGCGCATTGAGGACAGAGGTGTTAGCAGAGGTGTGAGTAGAAGCAGGGGCTGCGGTCACTGTAATGGAGTCCTGGGAATGGAAGGTTTAGATGGGATGACAAGATGGGATGTGCAGTGTGGGGAGAAGGTGGAGGACCCAGGAGATGATGGTCATGTTGGAAGCTGGACAGAAGCAGCTGGGGCTGGCATTTGTGACAAGGGGGAAGTGTGGGAAGAGGGACATGGAACTCCTTCGGCAGCAAGGGGGTGTAGCAGGTGTGGGGGAGGGGAGCTGCTGTGGCCATGGCAGCTTTGGACAGCCAGTTGTGTTGGACAGTGGTATGTGCTGTGCATGGTCAGTCAGCGATCAATGATTCAGTTGTATCTTAAGTAGTCAGGAGCTAGGGACTGGTAAAAGAACCAACTGAGAGGTTTGGCTTAGCTTGCCAGGGAATGAGATCATGTGTGACCATAATGCTGAACAAACAGGATTCAAACGGTACATCTGAAATTTCATTTATTCCCTCCTCCTTTCCTGTCACTGCCTGTTCAAACCGCTCTGTGGGGCTGTGTTTTCTGTCCCTGGACCAAATCCAGGACAGACTCGGTGGCTTCTCAGCTTCTCCCAGATTTTTTTTAAAAAAATCTTGTGTTATAATTATGTAGTGTAATAAATATGACTACATCAACAACCATATTACAATATATAAATGTATCAAAGTAACACCGCTGTCTACCTTAAACTCAACCAATGTTACACATCAAATTTGTTTAATAAAAATAAACTTTCAGGTTGCAGTTTGTCCCCGGCCCCGCTGGGGTCGTGTGGGTGGCAACCACTCAGTGTGTCTCTCTCACATCGATGTATCTCTCTTTCTCCCTTCCTGTCTCCTTCCCGTTCTATCTGAAGATAAATGCAAAAAAATGTCCTCGGATGAGGATGAAAAAGAAAAAAAAAACTTTCAATAACTTTTATCCATAAACAGTATTGGTTTAGTAAGTATCCAGTCTCGTCCTGTGTAATAACATATTTTGTTCATTGGGAAAGTGTTCTCCCTCTCCTGCAACTCCTTTTGGCTGTGGTCATGAAGCCCGTGTGGAGACGAGAGTCGTGGTGGACTCCTTCTCCCTGTTTTCCCTCCAACACTCTTCTCTTCCTCTTCTACTCACCAGGCCGCGCTGGCTTCTCCGTAGACTGAGTAGGAGGGACGAGAAAGTGCAGGGAGGCCACAGCTTGATGCTCCTCTACCACCGGTTTTTCTGGCCATGGCAGATGTAAACCTGACTTGTTCTTCTGTGGACTGTTCTGTAGGTTCTTTGGACTGTCCCCCCCCCCCCCCTTCGTCTCTGCAGCTCTGTCACTTACGTTTCCTTGCAGTGGGGCACACGCCTTCTCTTTCGCCCCCGTGGTATGCTGCCCAAGCAGCCTTAGTTCACAGTCAGGTCCCAGCGGTGCTGGCCGAGAGCTGGGGCGCACCTTGCGGGCTTGTGCAAGTGCCTGAGAGGCAGGGGGCAGAAACACCGTCTGTGGACTTCCTTGCAGATGGTGGTTGGCGTCGTAGATGGAACGGTTGCCCAGGAAGACACACGGGAACCGACAGAGATGCTCCTTTCAGAAGCAGGAGAAGGGAATGGAGCCGGCAGAGAAGGCAGCAGCCTCTTGCGGAGCATCGGCTCTCTACAGGGGCAAACTGCATGGGAGTCAGCCCAGAGTTATGTCAATTAGCGTGTCTATTTTTTATACAGAATATGGAAAGTATACATACCTACATTTTAATTTTAATTGTGAAAAGACCCTAAACTGTTTTCCTCCAGTTTTAAAAATTAATGTTAATTTCACTTTAGAATTTTTAAATCTTTGAAAATAAAGTTTAACTCTTTTTCTTTTCCAGTTGTGTATGAACACAGATCAAGATTAGAAAAATCCTTGCAAAAGGAAAGACTTGAACATAAGAAAGCAAAAGAAGGTAAATAAATAATTCAATCGGTATTTTGTTTTTATCATATTCTTTGAAGCATCATATATTTGCTTTACTATGTTTTGCTGAAAAATGGATGATATCAACCCAGTCAGTTTTACAGGTAGACAGAAAGAAATGTCAGGCAGTTTGCTGTGCATTGTGCAATAAAATGATTCCTGCTCAAGACTGGAATTAGATTCTCGCATTCAGTATGTGCCACCTTGAGGTAATTAATATATTGATTATGTATATTATTTCAGAAATAAAATATGTATTATGTACATATGTTAGTAATACCTGGAACTTTTGTTTACAAATATCCAGAAAGTAACAGTATGCATTGTCCAGAATTTGACAAATTTTATGTATACATATGCATGTACAGGGTGTCTGTAGATTCTATTACATTTTGAAAATGAAATGTATTGTAATAAACACTGGCTTTATAATTATTTAAAGTTGTATATACATTTTTGGGGGACACCCTATATATATATACATTTATAACATAAGTTGATCACATTGGATGACGTTCTTTAAGTTATGTACCTGTTTTGCTTTGTTTTTAAATTGATTTGAGAGAGAGAATGAAACATTGATGTAAGAAAGAAACTTTAATTGATTGCCTCCCCTGAGCACCCCGAACGGGGGTTGAACCTGCAACCTAGGTATATGCCTTGCCCGGGAATCAAAACCATGACCCTTTGGTACATGGGGCAGTGCTCCAAACACTGAGCCACAGCAGCCAGGGCATGCACCTGTTTTTATCTTGTGAGGGCTTTTTTTTGGACAGCCAATTGGTCCAGTTTTAAAAATTAACATTTAGCACAGGTATCAGGCAATGCTATGATTTTTCAAATCAGAATCTACGGTATAAACTGTAGACTTTATACAGCTTGTGATTTAAAGTCATCTGCATTTATATTTTTATTCACGTTTTGTGATAAATCTTGAGATATAAGTTAGGTGTTCTGTCTGATTAACTTGGGAAGGTATAAGGAGGGAGAACAGAGGAGGGCAGCATTGGTTAGGATGTTTTACTGACCCTTGGATTAAGCCTGTGTGAAGAATAGGAGTTTAACATCATTAAAATGCTTTGATAGGATTTGGATTTTTCTTGTCTTCAAATGTAGTGATTTTACAGGGCCATCTAGTGGACAATAAGCTTTAAGAGCCTGAGAGAGGGTGTCAGCGGCTTGAATGCTCTTTTCGGGTCCTGCGTGATTTCGGTGTGCCCTCTAGTGGGTAGCGATGCAGCACCCCTGTCTGCAGGTGTGCTGCCTGCTTGGCCCTCCTGCATGAAGGCGGGTTACAGAGGCATGTTCTCCGGGCACTTTCAGTCAGTCGGTGACAGTGTTAGTGTTGATGCAAGATTCACTGCTTTAAGGTAAAGAGAGAAATTATATGATAGTTTTTTCAACTTTTTTTAAAGTACGAAGAGGCAAAATAAGGTCTATATAAGCCACCAAGTAAGTGGTTTTAAACCTAGCATTTTTTTTTTGTAAATCTGAATCAAGTTTGCCTTTATTCTAGATGATTAAAAATTTCACAAGGAATGAACTTATGCTCTATTTCCTCTGTTTTGTATTTTCTAGATTTTCTTGTTTATAAGTTAGAAGCACAAGAAACACTAAATAAAGGAAGGGTAAGTTTTTTGTTTTTTTTAATTTTTATTTCATGAAACTTTGAGGAGAAGAAATTGTTGAAAAATCTTTTATTCTGTTGATCACTAGTATTGCAGGGCTGAAATACATTTTTTTTTAAATACCAAAAATTTTTAAGAGGAAGACTTAAAATTTTTAGTTTAAAATCTGCCTTTGCTTATCGCATTATTTATGACAGCAGTAAATTGGGAATAGCTTAATTTCAACAATAAAGAGAAAAGTATTTTTATTCATTTATTTGTTCCCTTATTTATAGTCTCTCTTTTCTGTAGAACATAATACATGTTTTCGTTTGCCTTTGCACAGACATTACTGTGTAACGTCTAACACAGTGCTGTGACCTCCTGAGTGCCCGAGTGCTGGTCACTCTCAAAGCTAGGAGCTCACCGCCTCTGAGAAGTCTTCTCTCACCTCTCTCCCATCCAGAGCTCATCCAAAAACATATGTCACCTGCACGAATGAATAAACATGACTTTGCTGTTAAAATTTAACTGCAGAAAAACTAGTCTTTTTCTTACTCTAAAAACAAGTAAGCTTTAGTTGAATAAAACATTGGCGTTTGGGGGTCTTAAAACTGAGAAGAGTCAGTTCCTTGGGTAGCTGGCACGCTATTACTTGCTTTTAAAAGACCTGATCAAAATTGTGGGAAATCTGTTGTACATTTTATAATGTAATTTCCTTAAAAATTAAAGTAGTAAAGCAGTAAAATAAAGCGAGAAAACAAAGATGCAGTTCATTTTAGAAGTCGTAACAATCGAACTAAGAAATGACTTGAGAGCGCGTCCCTGTGCTGGCCACGGGGTAAGCTAGAGGTGTGGCGTGTGAGACGACACAGCACGGGACAGAAGCTTCACGGGTCTGGTGTGCTGGCTGGTCATGGCTGCCCAGGGCTGTGGCAGCATATGAAGGTGTTTCACTGGGACCCAGTGAGCTGCTTACTCCTAGAACGTGGATCAGCCATAGGCCCAGGCTCAGGTTTCCGTCCTGGCTCTGCTAGAAAAGGACATGTTTGCCCTGGGCTATTCCTTATCCTTCTGAATCTCCCTCTGTGAATTGGAGTCTCAGTGGAGTGAAGTAATATATGTAGACTTTCTTGTCCTCTGAAGCTCAGGGAAGGAAAACACCTTTTCTCTCCCCTCCAATAAGCCAAGCTAAGCTCGTGAGATCTAGTCCTTGTTGGTTCAGCCACACTTTCCCTTGGAGAAGTGGGCATAATACATTATTGTGTATGTGCTCTACTGTGTCTCAGGACCAGCCCTTCGAACATCTGGGCCTCAGTTCTTCTCAATGTGAGAGTAGAAGTCATCTCCAAGGGCCCTGTCAAGCTGCTATTTTGTGATTCCATGTCCTCTTTTTCATTACTAAAATCTAGCAAACTTACAGGATGTTGCAACTTTATTTCTGCTATTATATAAAGAGATGGCCTCAAAGAATCCTGGCTCAAGTGTAGAATTTATTCTAGTTTATGCAAGAGAAATAAATGAAATTTTTCTATTAAGAGTTTTAAGCTGTGTTAATCAAAAGAGCCAGATTTTTTTTTATCTTTGTGTTAACTATTTTCTTTTCAATTTACAGCAAGATTCCAATAGTAGATACAGTGCATTGAATGTGCAGCATCAGATGTTGAAAGTGAGTAATTTAATGAGGTTCTTCGTGAATGAGTGGAAGGACTAACTGAGTAACTTAAGTGATTAAGGACAGTTACAGAAAGTTGATTTCTATTATAATATGGTAGAGTAAAGTCATATTTCACAAAAAATGATGTGTAACTATAATGCTCCATCATATGTATGACCTCATTACAAAGAACGTATGTAACTTATTACGTGTTTTCTTATAAATTAGACTCTCTGGTCAACTAATTTTTTTTGTTCTTCTCTTTATTCTTTAAGGCTTTTTGTTTGTTTAAATTCTCACAGTGCTTTTCCTTAGATATTTTCTTTATCTTAGACACACTGAAGGCAGTAAACTATTAAAATGCCTCCTTTGTGCTACTAAAATTTAAAAAGTGTTTTTTTACCTACCACAGGGAAACAATTTATAATGAAAGATTCTCCTTCCTTGGTTCTGGGGTGAAATGTATTATTATGTGTCAGGAAGACAGAGAGCGAGAGAGTCATTATTTCTGTCTAGCTGGAGGAGATGCCGGTGTGCGGCGCCCTCTGCACAGCGGGAAAGCCCGGCCGTGATCTGCACCCCACACCCCAGCTGTTGGTTTGGTGCTGTCTTTTCTCCCCTATCAGGAGGGCAGATGCCTTTTGTTGAAACCAGAATCCCCTCCGCTACCAAGAAAGCAGTTCACGAATGAAAGCGGACTGTCCTTGCACAGGGAGCATCTGGAGACTGGAGACTTTATCTAGATTATCACAGCATAATGTTCTCATCGGGAGAAAGATAAGAATACTTCGATAAACAATCAGTGTGTTACTTCCCCAAAAGGGAAGAGCCTGTTCTTTTCTCCTTCTTTAAACGGAGTCACCAGGAAGGCCAACAGCCAAAGAAGGAAAATGAAAAATGTGTTTAGGAAAACGGCAGATTGAAAGAGGAAGTCTAGACTCTCCTCCGAGGGTTAACTTTTCCGTTAGCTTTACCTTGTTTCCACAGTAACTCGAGTGCCTGGGAATTTCCCCAGACCCTTCCCTTTTCCATCTCTCGTGCTAACTTCTCACTTCTTGTGGGTTCCATTGATGTTAAACGTTTAGAAGAAAATTATTTTTGGCTGTGATCCCAAACTCGTTATTTGAAATGTAAGGGGAAGGGAGGTGAACTACACAAATTAAAAGCAACCTGGGGAAAATGAAACCTCCTCCTTCATTTGCTCCTACTTTCCAGCAAGAGAAAGGCTGAGTTATCGAGAAGTAGACTGTGATGTCACTTGGAGAACACTCACGGTCTCATCTTTTCAGAGTCAACACGAGGAGCTGAAGAAACAGCACAGCGACTTGGAAGAGGAACACCGCAGACAAGGCGAGGACTTCAGCAGGACGTTCAATGACCATAAGCAGAAGTACCTACAGCTGCAGCAAGAGAAAGAACAGGAACTTTCTAAGCTGAAAGGTATTTGGAAATCTAATTAGCCCGTTTATGTGGAAATAAATGCTCATGTTAATGTTTTCAGTAGAACAACAGACTTCTGTTTTATTTTGTTGGTTTTTTTACAGGGTGGTTGGTTTATCTGTATTGTGTGGTCCTTCCCTACCCACTCATTTCTTTGTCATAGTTCACATGTGTCCTTATCTCTTGGGTTTGTTTAGGGAAGCAGAGAATGCTTTGTGTGTCGCAGTGGGGCACATTGTCCATGTTGGGCAGGACAGTCGTGTGTGTGTGTGTGTGTGTGTGTGTGGCGAGGCATTCGGCATCGCTGACCTCAACCCACACACTGCCACCCATCAGTGCTCCCCAGTCATTGTGATGATTAAAAATTGTGACGGTGAAGCATTTCTAAAACCTTTCAGAGTAAGAAAGACTTGCAATTGATATCTAATAATACCTGCAACAGCTCCAACGGCTGGAGTCCGACAGCCTGGTGAATCTTGGCTCTTCGGTGACTAGCTGTGTGTGACCTGGGCACGCTGTGTGATCACCACCGGCTTCATTGTCCTCTTCTGCAAAACTGGGCTGTTCCTGAACAGTATCAGCCTTGTCGGGTTGGTGGGAGGATCAAATAATTTATGTAAAGCACCTAGAACAGCTACTGGTATATGATGAATCTTGAATTGCCATTAGCATCAGGTATTTTCATAGTAATACGGAACAAAATATTACTTCTCAAAGTACATCTGAGTTTTGGATATGAGAAATAAGCACATTCTGCAATTACCTAGTCAGTGATGAATAAATATTAATTTTTTAAATTAATTATTTAAATAAGTTTAAACTATGACAAATGGTTTAAAAACATACATGGTGCCTTCAAAAACAGTGGTGCAGCCCTGGCCAGTTTGGCTCAGCGGTTAGAGTGTCAGCCTGCGGTCCAGAGAGACCCGGGTTCGGTTCCCGCTAAGGGCACGTACTTCGGTTGCAGTTTGTCCCCGGCCCTGGTTGGTCGTGCGGGTGGCAGCCACTCGATGTGTCCCTTCATGTCGATGTTTCTCTCTCTCTCTCCCTTCCTCTCTCTCCCTCCCACTCTATCTGTACAAAAAATGGAAAAATATCCTCAGGTGAGGATAAAAAACAAAAAAAAAACAAAACAAAAAAAAAACAGTGGTGCAACCCCATGGAAATAGGAGGACATGTGTGTGGGCTCTGCGTAGTAAGGTAGTCTGAGTAATTGTACTGGTTCACTGTACTACGCCAGTTCTTTGGTGTCGTATGCTCCATTTATATAAGATGTCACCTTCTAGAGAAGCTGGGTGACAAGTACCTTGGACCTCTCTGTGTTTTCCATGCAACATTTTGTCTATTGCAGAATAATAATGCACAATGGAAAGGCTCATGGAAGAAGTTAAGTAGGCACTGAGGCCCTTTACAGAGGGTTAGGGTGGTCTTGGTCGAGCTGGGCTGGGTGTCAGCAGATGCCACCCACGAGATGCAGACAGACAGGAGCTTCGGCTTGTTGGCGGTGCGGCAGCTGGTGAGGGGTCGTTAAGATGACGGAACAGCGAGGCGTCTGTTTGACAGACCTGGAGCGGTCACCGTCTGCTGCTGCAGCTCCCGTGCAGACGCAGGAGAAAGGGGCCTCGTGCTCCCTGTCTGTCTGACTGGCAGCAGGGTTGCCTGAGGGAACACAGAAGGTAGAAAGCCAGAGGAAGGCAGGCAGGCGGAGCAGCAGCGGTGCTCACAAAGGCCGCGCTGGGGACGAGAGGAGGTGTCCAAAAGCATTGCTGTCCCTGTGAAGCCGCACCTGTCAGAGGGAGGGCGGAGCCTTTGCAAACCCGAGCGAGGCTGAGTAAATGTATCATATTATACTGATAGTAAATAAGTAGATTCTTTAAGGAATGAGACATAAAACTCCATAGGTAGCTGACCTGTGCTTGGCACACTTTCCACAATTAGTTCACTTCATTTTAGCAGTATCGCGAAAGGGCAGGTTTTCTTACGTCTACTCTATGTTTACTTTTTTCTCTGTGTGGTACAATTTTAACAAATTATATGTAGAAGTAAGAAATAAGAACCACGGAAAATAGGAGGACATGTATGTGAATTCTGCATACTAAGATAATTGAAGCCTCTAACCTGGTCTGAACTCTGACCTTCCTGGCACCCAGGACAGAAGGGGGTGATACAGTAAGTTACCGAGGCTCTTGAAGCTCCTGCTGTCAGAAAGAGAGAATACAGCAAGGCCTTAGGGACAGGGGGTGACAGAGACAGAGACAAGGGGTGGGGGGGAGAGAGAGAGAGAGAGAAAGACAATATTCTTTCTGTTACCAATTTTGGAAAAACTTCCTCAAAGAGCCCTTAACAAACAGAGTGTGACAGTGCCCTGAAGATACTTTTTTTTTTTAATATCCTCACCCGAGGACATTTTTTCATTAATCTTCAGACAGAGTGGGAGAGAGAGAGAAACATCAATGTGAGAGAAACACATTGACTGGTTGCCTCCCACACCCCCTGACCAGGACTGAGGACCGAACTGCAACCGGGGCATGTGCCCTTGACCACCATTGAACCTGAGATTCTTGGTCTGCCGGCCGATGCTCTAACCACTGAGCAACGGGCCAGGGCATGATGACACTTCTGTGAGTAATTTTCACATCAGCAGTTTTGTTTGATTAGGATCCTTGATGAGGCTTGGAATAGTAAATTAAACCCTATTGTGATAGCTACAGGTCAGTAGTGGCAAACTAAGGTGTCTAGTCCAAGTAGTCTTTTTTTTTTTTATCTTTACCTGAGGACATTTTTTCATTTTTTGTTCAGATACAGTGGGAGGGGGAGACAGGAAGAGAGAGAGAGAGAGAAATATTGATGTGAAAGGGACACATCGAGTGGCTGCCACCCGCATGACCAACCAGGGCCGGGGACAAACTGCACCTGAGGCATGTGCCCTCAGCGGGAACCGAACCCGGGTCTCTCCGGACCGCAGGCTGATGCTCCAACCGCTGAGCCAAACTGGCCAGGGCTAGTCCAGGTAGTCTTTAGTGGTCTAGTGTGATAGGAGGAGAGAATTTAGAATTCTTGGGAGATGAGCTGATAGCATATAAACTTAGATAACTATTCTTTTCATGTTCATCGTCATAATAGCTGACACTAAACAAATGTTTACGGTGTGCCGGAACCGGGTGAAACGCTTCATGCAGTCATCTTATTTAATTCTTGTAGCAACCTGCCTTACAGGCTGCTACAAGAATTAAATAAGATGTTGTGTTTAGCCTAATTTAACACATGAAGAAATTGAGGCCGGCCAAAGTGGAATAACTTACTCAGGGTGATACAGCGAAGGCATGGGTGCCACACCATTAAGTTTATAATCTATAATTACTTTCAACGTAGCCAAGTTGGGGTATTTCAAGCGTGTGTGTTCATGTGTGTGTAGAATGAAGCTGATCCAGCTTCATGTACGGTCCTCTTGGATTGTCCGTGGTCCTGTACTGACCTTGAGAAAATCCATTATTACATATAGATGGGCAAACTAATCACCGGCCACATTTCCCACTGTGCTGTTGGTCTTCCCCCAAACCCAGCCACACATCCATTGCCCAGGAGTCGACAGGGACTCCTAAGGAGTGAAAGGGACAGAAAACGTGGAGCAGCGGTGACTGGCACTTGCCTGCAGTGCTGAGTGCAAGTTGGAGAGTTGGGTTGTCTGCAGGAGGGTGGCTGCCATTAGGGACAGTTAGCCCAGCACAATCGAGTTGACGTCTGCCGTTCCCTTATAATAAGTAACAGCACCTTCTTTCACTCGCAAAAGCATCTCCTCCTGGAACATGAATTACATGGTTGGTCTCCCAACTTTCACTGTGTTGCACATGCGAGTTGGCCAAGCATTGTCACGTTTTACTAGACCCAGATTCTTGGTTTTGTCAATGGTGACAACTACTCAAATGTGGAAGATACTATACAGGCCAACATCGCAGGGGCAAAAATAAATAAAATTGTTGCCCTGGTCAGTTTGGCTCAGCGGTTAGAGCATCGGCCTGCGGTCCAGAGAGACCCGGGTTCGGTTCCCGCTAAGGGCATGTACCTCGGTTGCAGTTTGTCCCCGGCCCTGGTTGGTCGTGCGGGTGGCAGCCACTCGATGTGTCTCCTTCACGTCGATGTTTCTCTCTCTCTCTCTGTTCCTCTCTCTCCCTCCCACTCTGTTTGAACAAAAAATAGAAAAATGTCCTCGGTGAGGATTAAAAAAAAAATTGTCACTACCAGTTTATGACATTTAATGTCCAGAGACAGGGTAAACTACCAAGGTAAGAGTAGTGGGTCTAGAATCTTTAAGATGCGGAGCCTGTACCCTGAACAGTAGGGCATAAGGTGGGGAGGTTTTAGGACTTCAGTGTGATTGCTGCAGTCTCCCCGTGGGGCCCTGGGAAGAACTTCCCTGGAGCAGAGAATCTGATCAGTCAGGAACTCAATGGTAGGAGGACAAAAATGTGTTAGAGTTTTCAAGCACGTGTGTTCATGTAAGTGGGGTTTCTCTCTGTCTCTCATCTCTTGAGTTGCCTTTCTAACTGAAGTAGCTTTTGGGGGTGGGCAGATTATTCATCCTTGAGAAATAGGGTTTGTGCTTCTGCTAACCATGTTCCTAACTTGTAAAGAGACTCACGTCTCAGACCACCCCCGCCCATCACATTTTATTCCTACGGGCTTGCTTATTAACAGAAACATTTCATTTTTAACTCCCGAGTCATTAAAAATTCTTAGCTTCTTGTACAGTGTATAACCTGCTTCAACGTATTTAAGCTACTGAACCAGATTGTATTGGGATGTCTAACCGAATCCGTGCCCTAACAGTACAGTTTTTGTTGATTTGGAATAGTATGCCGTTAGAGTTCGTAACAAGTCCCAAAACAAGTTATATAAAGTTTTAGATATGAAAATATTAGAGTCAAAAGCCTAAAAATTCTAAGGCTAAATGATACGTGATTTTTCTTCTTCTAAACTAGAGACCGTGTACAATTTGAGAGAAGAGAATAGACAACTAAGGAAAGCACACCAAGACATACACACACAGCTTCAAGACGTCAAGGTAAATCACACCACGTCTTTGGCAGTTTAGTGTTTGCCTGACTTCCTTTGTGGAATGATTTAAAAGTCATCCCCTTCTTGGCCTGCTCTTCACATCCGTGCTGTTTCCTGAGAGCTTTGCAGAGACCCCGGTGTGCCCAGTACTTTCACCCCTTCCACATTGCCAGCCAAAAAAAGATGGTCTGAAAATCCAGACATTTTCATCAGTACCAAAATGACTCTCTTGCTAGGTGGTTGCATTTTAATACGCTTTTTGCAAAGGTTTATTAATAACGAAAGAAAGTTTTGTTCCTTCGGTTTTGATTTCATTGTAAATGACTATGATCTTTGGTTAGCCTATTCTGGATTTTGGAATACTGCAATTCGCCATAGCCGTCTCTCTACAGTGATTTTTAAACTTAACAGATGCTGCGGCAACCAAGAGATAAACCAATGGGCGAGCAAGCACTGTTTGGGTGGTCACACCACTGTCAGCCAAAAAAGAATTTGTCTTAGTATGTTACAACTCAACATGTAAAATTCTTTTTTGTGTAGCAACAGCATAAGAATTTACTCTCCGAGCATGAACATCTTGTAGTGACTTTGGAAGACCACAAGAGTGCACTAGCGGCTGCACAGGTTAGAAGGGTAGCAGCCTCTCTCGGTTCTGTTTCGAGTCTGCTTAACATTCTGGATTCCTCTGTGCATGTGGTCTCTCCTAAAAGCCAGTCTTCAGCGAGTTCTCTGGGACAGAGCTATCCTAATCCTGAGGATCATGCATGCTTTCAAAATTCAATCAGGAGAGTATTAAATAAACCTTTGACTGTTTGGTTTTTTGTTTTTGTCTTTTGCACGGGTGGCGTCGCGCATATGACTGGTTGTACCCCGCATCAGCCCTTAGGTGCAGCATTCTAATACTTGCTTGAGTCACAGAAACTATGCCACACGTAGGGTCTTTTGCCACTGCCTGACCTGTGTTGACTCTTGCTTTAGGATTTATAGGCTTTTTATGATGTGAGCTACCTAAATAAGTTACTGTCAGACTATTTTGTTCCCCTCTCCCTTGCTGCCAGCATTTCAGCCTATGCACACTCCTTTTGGGACTAGGCTGATGTGTTGTTGGTCAGAAAAAAAAAAAGAAGAAGAATAAGAAGAAGAAGGGATCTCATGTCAATAGAGAAGGAAAAACAAGAATTGTTTCCGTCTGTTCAAAGCCCAGAACAGTCCCTGGCACAAGGCAGGCCCTCGGCAGATATTTACTGAGCGAGCGAGCAGATGAACAAGTCAAGGGTTGGGAGCTTGTCAAGGCCGTGGATGCTGGGTAGTTCACAGCTTCCTCGCAGAAGCGAAGAGTGGGAACGGCTGGCTCAGTCACTACAGCTTCTGAGATCATTAGGTCCCTGCTTTTCTCCTTCTGGAAAAATTAGGAGGAAAGGCAAAGGGAAACCAACCACCTCCACTTCTCAGGAGCCATGTACTATGATTTCTCATTATACAATTATTAGAAGTGTAATATGGTGGGCCCCGGAGCCCGCATTTTTAACTCGATCCTTGAATAAGCCCTACCACACACTGATATTTGAGGGCCACAGTGTTGACGCCTTCACAGATTACCTGTCTGGGAGGAGGAGAAATAAGAAAGGCTAGAACTAAGGTTTGTGCATTCCCCCATACTTATCTTAAAGTATTAAAAATATCTTTGTGGATGTCAGGTTTTTTTTGTTTTTTTGTTTTTTTTTTATTCCAATGTCGGCTGGCAAATGTTTCTATATATTGCTGGGCTAAGGGCCACTGTTAGCCGTATGGCACACCATTGTGCAAATTACAAAGACGCACTCCCACGAGACAGACTTAGACTTAGCAAGCAAGTGTTTTCATGTTTGTGTGAATTAGAAAAGGGGGAAAAGGCACCGCCTCCTCGGTGGGGCAGGCGCTGTGCGGGGTGCTTTGGCAGCACAAGCGCCAGCCGGATCCTCTCTGGCGCCCGCTCCACTGTGCACCCCGAGCAAGGTGGCCCTTCCGGAAAGCTTGCTCAGAAAAGGATCTCTGTGTTCCTTCTCTTGCTGTACGTGTGTGGTTGCACACGTAGCATTTCTGTTTTAGGGTAACAGTGTTTGTGCATATGATGAGCTAAGTATAAACAGTGTCTATTCATTTTCTTAGTTAAGGTGTGATTTTTTTTTCTGCCTTTTTAGCTCCTTGTATTAAAAATATTACACACACACCCCACCACCACCACATATACACACAGATATATCTACAAGATATATTCTTTTTTTATACCTACATTAGTGCCTTTATCACTTTAGAAGAAAAGTACATGCAGAATTGAGGAATAAAAATCCAGCCTCACTTCACGTCTGCTGTTTCTTTCCAAAAACCGCAGAGCACAACACTGGAAGTGTTTTAGATACGAAGGGACCCTATTTGACCAATAAGAGGGTGGCCTGAATGATTTTATATATATATATGGTCAGTTATTTATCTTAAACTTATTCCTTTCCACTGAAAAGTGTTGCTCAGACCATATTGGTAAAAGATATCTTCACCTGTATTTATAACTATGTGAAATTTTATTAGATGTTTAGATGCTATAAAACTGATTGCATAGGAGTCTTTTAATAGTGATATTTATACTAGAAAGTTATTTATAAAAGTTCTGATTTTGTTTAATGTAGCATGAAAAACTAACTCCTGTCTTAGATATTTTTTCTCTGTTCTCTATAACTCTAATTCTGATTTGCATGTGCCTAAAAAAGGTGAAGCATGTCCAAATAAGAATAGCTAATGCATGGAAATAATCTTCCTATTTTTTCTAACTTGGATTTAGGTATCATATTTTTGTCTAGTCTTCCAGTGAACCCAATGCCCATCCATGAGTGATATCTTTTTCCCCTCTTCAAATTGTGCAATTTCTATGCAGACTCAAGTTGCAGAGTATAAACAACTGAAGGATACTCTGAATAGGATTCCCAGCTTTCGAAGAGCAGAACCAGCCGAGCAGCCAAGTGTTACTCAGGTGGCACATTCCCCACAAGGTGATGCCACAGCCCGGGAGCATCTGGCCGGAGAGCCACAGGAGGTAAGAGGATGCTAACCTATGGTCAGGTCACTGTCCCTGTCAAGCTGCCGTCTGATGAACTGCTGTTCCTGGAGAGCAGTGGTTCTCACATTTCAGTGTGTGTCACAGTCCCCAGCTGGGCTGTTAAAACACAGATTTCTGGGCCCTGCCCAGGGTTTCAGATTCAGCTAACTCTGGGTGAGGCCTGAGGGTTTGTATTTCTGATTCAGCTGGTCTGGGGAGCACACTTTGAGAATTATAACAGTATTTTCTGGGAAAGACACAGTGGCTTTGTCTTTGTTTATATGGGTTTCTTTGTTTGAAAGGAGCTGTCGTGTCCTGAGATTTTTAAGGTGGTGGTTGTTGTTGTTGTTATTTTGGTAGAGTGAGAGGCTAAATGATTGTGAGTTGACCCTGTGACAGTAGCCCACTGAGGTATCCAAGTTGGCCACATGTCTGAGGTTGATGCAATGTCAGGTCCACACAGAACATGCCAGGATTTGGGTTCAAAGGCTTATAAAACTACCAAGGGAATGAGTGCTAGCGTCAGGCTTGACTTTTTTGTATTTCTGTTCTTCATAAAAACCAAGCCCGCTTAAACGTACCTTATAAACAGGACATCGAAGTCGTGTCTCCCTGATCATGAACTTTTACAGGGTGATTTTACGGTCACAGGTGTAGTGAGAACGGAGTGTGGCGACCTTTCCCCTGATGGACTTGTGAACAGTGCACGTGTGAAAAGACTTGCCCCCAAGACCCGTCCGACAGGAAGGATTGAGTGATGGGAGTGGACGTCCTACGTGTCTGCAGAGCATCTTTGCAGACCAGTTCTGAGTCCTCATACACCCTCCTTCTGGTCTGGGTCTCAGGTTGCTACTAACTTATGAAACCATAACCAGATCCCTGGCCCGGGACCAGGTTTTCCATTTGCGAGGTAGAGACGCCGTTTTCTGCTTTGACCTTTCTCACAGGGATGCTGGGAAGAGCAGTGACAGGCGCTGGAAGCACTTAGTGTTCTCTGCAGAAACATCCCGCATAAACCAGGGCAGTGTCAAACCACACTTGCCAGGAACGGGAGAATGTTGGTAACACGTGTGTCTCCGAAAGCTGTCCTCAGATGTCCAAGAAAGGACTTTTCGTCCAGGTTCATTTACTTATTTATGCAGTCCAGCTCCTCAGTTATATACCTGCTCGTTTAAGGAGAGCCCTTCACATTTATTTCAATGATGGGAGAGCAGTCTGACCAAAGAAGTTATTTTTTCTGGTAGAGAAGGGGGAGGGAGTGACAGGTGTTCCTGTTGATATTATACCATCTCCGTCTTGCCCCTCTTTTCTAGTGAAGATAGAGAAGCTTGCAGGGAAAGCGGATTTAAGTCATTGAACTTTAGAAGAGGGGTACTCTTCAGACGTGTTTTTGTTCAGAGTTTTCTGTATTAACAGTACAAAATACAAAAGCCTTCCTCTGGTTTGCAAAGAAACACTATTTCAGTACGTTAAGAAACACTATTTCAGTTTCTGGTTTAATGGGCACTCTTTTTGTAAAAGTATGTTTTTATTGATTTTTTTTTTTTTTTTTTTTTTTTTGAGAGAGAGAGAGGAAGAGAGGGGGAGAGGGAAAGAATCATCATTTGGTTGCCTCCAATACACACCCCAGCCAGGGACCAAACCCACAACCTGGGCACATGCTCTGATCAGGAATCGAACTGGTGACCTTTCAGTACTTGGGACGATGCCCAGCTAACTGAGCCACACTGGCCAGGGCTAGAGGGCACTATTTTTAGCTAACGTGGATGTCCATTAATAAAGACATTCTCTTTTTTAAAATTAGCTAATAAAAAATAAACCCAACTCATCTTCTATTTGATCTTATCCTTTTCTTTTCAAATCATTATTTAAAACAAAATTTACAAAGAAAAGTATGAAAATGTTTCATCACTTGAAGTTACTCCCCCCCCCCCCCTTATAATTCTAAGGGAAAACGAGCTAGACTGCTTTTGAGGGAAAGGTCTGCTTTACTTTCAGGTTATTTGCAATATTCTTTCCCAGCTGAAATTCTGCTTATGTTATTTCTGTGTTGTGAGTGACATCACACAGGGAGAAGCGCTCAGTGACTCCATTCAGCCATACTTTTTAGTCAGGACTCTGTATTTCTAGGCTCCGGGCTTTTCCTATTGGTAACCCCACGGACATGGCTATAAAGAAATGACGGCTCTCCTTTCGAAATAGGAGTGTGTCACTTCCAGGGCTGTGCTTGGCCTAGGTGTCTCGGAGTAGTGATGTGTGGCAGCAGCATGGAGTGGCGCCTCGGAGAACAGAAGAAACAAAACTCGACCCTCCCACCCAGAAGGAGGCCGAACTGCAGGCTCCCGCAGAGCTGAACCAGCCACAGGCGGCAGCCCGAGAGCCCGAGGGGCGGCAGGTGGAAGAGGAGCACAGAAAGGCCCTGGAGGAGGAGGCCATGGAGCAGGTGGGGCAGGCGGAGCACCTGGAGGAGGAGCACGACCCGTCCCCCGAGGAGCAGGACCGGCAGTGGAAGGACCCGAGGGCACAGAGAGAAGACGCCAACCTTCTCGAAGGGCTTGCTCGTGCTGAGGTAGGAGGGCACCTGCTCCACGCGGGCTCCCAATTGTCTTTGCGGGCTGGGATGAGGGGCGTGGCTTTGTTTTTAAATAGTAAAAGAAAAAAGCTGCTCCATATATGACAGTCTCTAAAATAAAAATGGGAGTGATTTCCCTGAATGCTACGTGCACATACTCAAGTTTTCTTTTGTAAAGGTAAGAGCAGAGCTACCTACATGCCTTAGAGAACTCTTTGGAGAAAAGAGAGAGAGCTGACTGTGTGTGTGTTGTGTGTCCATGGGGCCCGGTACAGGAGACACGTGCTCACGGCCCTTCAGCAGAGCAGAGTAGGTGAGCACCCGACTGGGCACCTTCCCAGTATGTGCTCAAGCCCTGTGGTCATCCTGAGGCCGAGAGAAGTCTGATTTTCTATGATCAAAGGTCTCTCGTTTCTGCTCATTTACTGTCACGTGTGTCTTGGCTTTTGCCCATTCACCTGCAGGTGGTTATTAAGTTATCAAAGCTGATCTTATCACTTAGGGATACTCCACTAGGCGAGCATGTTTAACCTCTGCTCAGACTCCCCTCCTGAGCACTGTCCTCTCACATAGGTAAGATTTATAAAAATCATTCATTATTTTTATAAGTGGTACTTTGAAAGGACTTAAAGCAACACTGAATGTGGCTAGGTCCCTTTCTTCCACTGTTGAGCTGATACTCAACAATAGGGCTACCTGGTCTTAGCGTGGATACTGGTCACCTTTTATTTATAACAGAAGCTGTGTTTGACCTCGAACTTTCTAAGACTTCAAGCTGCTGGAGACTTTGGGCTGAGTAGGTTTGAAAGCCTCTGTAGCTACTCCCTTATAATGTTGCAAACTTGGCATCAAGAAGCCTCTCCCAGCTGTGCATCCTTTGTGGCATTCTTCAAAAGGAACGCCTTGCTGTGTTGCCTCAGTTGGGGGGTGAGGGCAGAGTGGTGGAGCTCTCGTTGGAAGCCGCGTGTATGAATGCCTGTATCAGGTTTTCCCTTGATCAGAAGGGACTATCTTTCCACCCAGTCTTTGTCTCTTGGAAGACAGTTGGTTCTCTGCTTCTCCACCCTAATCTGAAATTTCACTTTTTTGGCGATGTCTCTCCTCTGGTTGGTACAGACATCACTAGAGTTCCAATTAGCATCCCTAGGTCCAATTAGTGTGAGCTCACCAAGTTCCCGCTTAGAGCAGAGGCTTTTGGGCATAAGTGTAATTCAAATTCAGAACTGATTTCTTCTGTTGGTCTTCTGGTATTTGAGAGGGTGCACACTGAAAGCTGGCCTTAGTGCTCGTTGATCGAGAGGACCAGTTGCTAAGACACCAAGGGTGACTCACGAGGCATTGGCGAGTAGGAGTCCAGTGCTGGGTGACCTTGAGTGACATGTTCAATCCCAGTTCACCTGGCAGATAGGTATCCGTGCCCCAGCCCTACCTCCTGAGTTTGTCATGAGAAACAAAGGAAGGGAGAATTCGGAGGACCTGACCGCTTGTGCTCCACACCAGCTTGTTTTTCCCCAGGTGCACCCTTCAGCGGAGCCGGTTACCAAATTCCGATCCCCCTACGAGGAGCAGCTGGAACAGCAGAGACTGGCGGCCAGGCGCGCGGAGGAGGCCCAGCGGCTGCGGGAGCAGCAGGAGGCTCTGCACCAGCAGAGGCTGCAGGGCCACCTGCTGAGGCAGCAGCAGCAGCAGCAGCTTCTCGCCCAGGAGATGGCCCGGCAGAGGCAGGCCCGGCGCGAGGAGGGGCATCCTCAGCGCCCCGAGCAGCTACGGTACCTTCTGCTGGGCCTGGGCAGCCCTCCTCTGGTTTTATAAGCAGATTAAAAACAGCTTGGTGCATTTTCTTTTTTTTCATCCATGAACTTGAGGGGCTCATATTGTTTCTGTAGCAGAGGCAGAATTAAATTCCAAATATTTAATTGTAAAAATAATCAACATATTTTCCCTGCTGAAAAATGATAGTGTAGGTCTCAGAATAACCTAGTAGGTTTTGTGGTAACTTTATCATCTGAAAGGTAGTTTATCTTTTTTGTAAGTATCTTTTGAAAGTATATCTGGAATCTTTATTAAACCTAATTGCGTACGTTTTTTAAAGACATTTTTATGGCTTTAGAAAGAACGTTGAAAAATGAGTTTATTACCATCTTTAAAGATAAGTGACTCATGTCAAACTGTGCTACTTAATTTGTGTGGCTGGGTTGATCATGTTTGTCCCCCTTGCAGGCAGCAAGCTCATTATGATGCTATGGATAATGATATTGTTCAGGGAGCGGAGGACCAGGGCATCCAAGAAGAAGAAGGAGGTGGTAAGACTTCTTAGATGATGGATGTTTTAATAAAATTGCATAGTCGTATAGATCAACTCAGAGTTCTCTGCTTCTCGGAGTGCATGCCAAGGAGACTTGTTTCATCTGTCGTTCATTGTTGTGTTTTTCTTAATCCTTCCAAACAGTGCACATTAGTAGCCAAAACTGCCCAAGATAATGTTTCCTCTGGAACATTTTAGAGTAGAAAGGAAACAGTAGTTTTAGCTTTTGTATATACTAAATAGTTATTTCTGACACGTTCTCATAAGACTGTTATGCTTTGGGAAACTTCTTCATTTTCTCCTTACCTTGGAGGCTTTTGGTTCACTGCCTTAAAAGTTTTCAAAAATTAAGTCAATAGTAGCTTTCCTTTATAGTGTGCATCTAGTATGACATTTATCAAATATTGCTGTGTCGGTAGAGCTAGGAAGTAACTGTCTCTCTGACAACACTAACACTTCGATATGTATCCTTTCAGAACAGCCTAAAAGAAGGTGATTACCCGAACTCCCTCTATAGCCTGTTCTGATACTTCACAGCCCTTATAGTCAAGAAATTGTTTTCCTTATGTCCCCTGTGCAGCACTTTAAGCTTTTTTGTTCTGTTATCAGTAAGATTACAGAATGGTTTGTTCCCTTCTTTATTTAATAACTCCCTTGGTGCACTTGAAACCTGATGTAAGTTATCCTGTTACTATATTTTCTATGGGTTAAATACTCTCCATATACTTAACCTCTCCTCTTACAGCTTCCTTAAAAAGTTATTTGTGCCCTGGCTGGTTTGGCTTAGTGGTTAGAGTGTTGGCCCTTGGACCAAAGTGTTGCGAGTTTGATCCCGGGTCCCAGCCAGGGCGGTGTGGGAGGCAGCCAACCAACGTGTCTCACATGGATGTCCCTCCCTCCCTCCCTCCCTCCCTCCCTCCCTCCCTCCCTCTCTCCCTCCCTCCCTCCCTCTCCAACAATCAGTAGAAAAATATCCTCGCATGAGGATTAACAACAACACCAAAAATGTATTTGTTCTCTTTGTATGCTCTTGTCTAAATTCTATTTATCAAAAAATTGTTTTTTTTCAAAGAGCAGCGCGTAAACGGTGTGAGCCCAGAATGGAGGTGCTGTGTGCGGCCATGGTCACTCTGCCAGGGCCGAGAACACTGAATGGCCCCTGTTTCTTGTTTGTTCCCCACGTAGGGCTGTTCTTTCTCTTACTTTCTGAAACAGTGTCAATTTCTACTTTTGGTACCTTGCTATTTCCTCTGTTATTACCAAAAATTAGATGGCAGTTATAGTAATGTCCAGCTGACTGGACTTTTCTTGAGTGGGTTCTGATTGTTGTGTTTTAAAAAATGGAACAGGGGGTGGGGAATTGCAGTTTCTGTTATAAATGTCTGTTTCAGAGAGTCAGGATGGTGCCACTCACCCACACGACCTCCTTAGACACACGGTCGGGAGAAGGACATGACGTTATTCAGAAAAGCTGAGACATACGCTTTACTCTGAGTTAGCCTCACTGGAGGAGAGAGTGGGAGAAATGGTCTCTGGAACAGTCTACTGGTGGCTTTTGTTTAGTGAAAGGGAAGAGTCCTGTCTGATTCATCGGGGCTGATACCAGTTCCTTCGATTTGCTAGCCTATGAGCGAGACAACCAGCACCAGGATGAGGCAGAAGAAGACCCAGAGAATGGACACGAGCCTCGGGAACAAGGGCTCCATGAAGCAGACCCAGAGTCCGAGGCAGACGTAAGTGCCCTCTCTTCTGGTCATGACACTTGGAAACTCACAAGGCAGGAGGGACACCTGAGGGTTTGCCTGCCGCAGCCTCTGGCCCCAGCCATGCCTGTCCGGAGCGCGAAGGAAGGCGGCAGGGCTGCAGTGAGCCATGTGGACTGTAAGCCACAGGGGTGTGATGAGAAGGGGCTCAAGTGTGCCCTGGGAAAACATCAAAGGAGTCTTTCTCTGATGACTTGTAGATTACTAAAATAAAATTTAAAAATTAAAAGCAGCCCTGGCCAGTCTGGCTCAGCGGTCAGAGTGTCGGCCTGCGGTCCAGAGAGACCCGGGTTCAGTTCCCGCTAAGGGCACGTACCTCGGTTGCAGTTTGTCCCCGGCCCTGGTTGGGTCGTGTGGGTGGCAGCGATGTGTCCCTTTCATGTCGATGTCTCTCTCTCTCTCTCTCTCTCCCCACTATATCTGAATAAAAAATGGAAAAATGTCCTCAGGGATGAGAATAAAAATAAATAAATAAATAAATAAATAAATAAATAAATAAAAGAAAAATATACCACTTGCATTGGCCAGTGTGGCTAAAAAAAAATAATAAAAGCAAAATTGAAAGGCATTGAAAGATGTAGAAGTTCTGAAGTGTGGGAGTTGGAGAGGGAACCGGAGAAAGGAAAGTAGCTGTTACTGAACTTGGTGAGCAGGCTGCTAGGCATTAGGTAGGTCATGTGACTCTGACTTCCCAGCAGTCCGTGGCCATTTTAATAAACATGTGGATAAGAATAGGTGGCCTGAACAGTGAAGAAAGTTGCCCAAATACCGTGATGATATATCGCATTTACCAGAAGAAGAACCAGGACTCCCAGGTCCGCGGGTGGCCTGGGCCTTGGCCTAGCCGATAAGCACCGCGAGCCAACTCCACACGGTCATGTCCTTGTGCTTCTGTGCAGATGGTTTGTGCACCTTACTTAAGCTCCCCTGTCATCTTCTGCTGGTAAACCTCCCACCGTGTTCCTAGAATGTAGTGTGTCTGTGCTGCCCCAGGGGCTCTGCTTATGTTGACCCAGCAGAGTGATAAAAGGCTCCACATCCTTCCTTGATGATCATGGAGAATTCTTCCTGATGGCTGCTCAAAGCCACGTTGGCGGAAGCCTTTCCCACGTCACGTGCACAGATGGAGGGCGGACCTCATTTGCCTGCCAACCCCGGAATTAGCATGTTGAAAGGGCCCTGGCCGGTCTGGCTCAGCGGTTAGAGCATCGGCCCGCGGTCCCAAGAGACCCGGGTTCGGTTCCCACTAAGGGCATGTACCTCGGTTGCAGTTTGTCCCCGGCCCTGGTTGGTTCGTGTGGTTGGCAGCCACTCCATGTGTCCCTTTCACGTCGATGGTTTTCTCTCTCTCTCCCTCTCTCCCCCTCCCACTCTATCTGAACAAAAAAATGGAAAAAACGTCCTCTGGTGAGGATTAAAAAAAAGAAAGAAAGAATGCTCCAGGGAACCCTGGCCCTGAAATATTTTCAGGAAAGAGCAAGAGCTGTAGAGAGGGGAGTCTGAGAGCCAGATGTGAGAGAGCAAGGGAGTGTCCACAAGAGGGCAGCAGAGTGAGTGCAGAAGCCCCAGAGTATGCTCCAGAGGGGTGCAGGGGATCTGGGTGGATGCAGTTCAGGCAGTGACATCGGGTGCTGTGTGCTTTGTAACCTGTTACTGTGGTCCTCAGTGTGCTTGTTCTGGAGACCACGCAGGAAACATTGGCATCTTCTCTTCCATACCTTCTTTGAATTTGAAATTGTTGGTCTGCCTGTCCCTTTCTTTGTCTTACCTATTTTATTTGTTATTTTTAATGTTTGAATTACATTTGATGTATAATATTTTATTTCAGGCATACAACCTAGTGAGTATACAGTTATATAACTTACAAACTGGGCGCGCCAATAAATCTAGTACCCACCCTATGTAGGTATATTGACTATATTCCCCCATGTTTACATACCCGTGACTATTCTGTAACTACCAACTTGTAGTTCTTCATCCCTTCACCTTTCTCCAACTTTAGGGAAGTGTAATTGATCATCTAGTTATTTTAATTAGGCTGTAACAACCATGCCTGTTAAACCTTACTTATTACTTGGTCAGAGTTATTTTTGTTAAATTTGCAAAAGCTTTGCTATTTATTTTTTTCCTGAAGAGAATGTGTGACACTCTTTTCTATTTCCACGTGAATGATTGAACATGCATAAAAAGAAATGTCTATGATCAGAGATGGTGGAGCAGCTGGGGTTTAGTGCAGGTAGTGAGGTGTCAGTCTGTCTTGCCAAGGAGTGTCCTTTGCGCTTGGACGAGGGGAACAGCTGGGACGTGCAGACAGCGGCTCAGCAGAGACTGCAGTGAGCTCTTGAACGTGTCCAAGGCTCTGAAGTGAATCGAAGTAGAATCATGTCTGGAGAACCCGTGAGAGATTAAATCTCACCCCGAGGCTTCACCGTCTCCGGGAAGCGTTTTCTGCTTCAGGCACGTGTCCTCGGTGACATTGGAGTGATGGGGAAGCATCGCCGCTTCTGCCCAGCTCGGGCTCAGAAGTTGGAATCTTTATGAGGTCATGTATTATTTTGAAAGGCGTTTTGGGAGCCTCAGTGGAAAAATCACGATAATTCTGAAGCTGGTAATACGAAGGGAATTTGTTGGACACAGGAACTGAGAACTACTTGGGAGGAGGGGTGAGTCAGGGGAGATATTTTTCAAAATATATCACCAAAGATTGGGTTAGCTCGGTTCTTGTCCCTCACCAAGACATCGCTCAGGGTCCTGATGGCGTTTGTTGTAAGGAAATGTGACCCGCGCTGGAAACTGATCATTTACTTTTGAACTAGCCTCCTTCCTGTCTGCTTCTTAGGCCTCTTCTCGGACCCTTTCTGGTGTGGGCCTGCCTCCTCTCCAACTGGTTTCACCCGCTTACGTGTGAGAAATCGCTGGCGAAGGAAAGCGTGTCCGCACAGCAGTCCGCACACCAGTGAATGAAGTGACCCTTTGCCCGTCTGCATTTTCCATTTTAATTATTTCTCCTACTTGATCTGTTGGATCTTGTCAGCTGTTTTTTCTTGTGTCTGTTTAGCTATGTTCACATTCCCTGTGATAGTCAGGTTTTGAGGACGAATTTGGAACCCCTTACGGAAGGGCCAGGCATACTGCACGCTGTTTTGTCCGCCTCTGACACATGGCGCAGGAGTTTCATCCTGACGGTGGAACGTGTGCTTGCGGGCCCTGGCGAGGATAGATCTGAGCAGTCCAGTGCAGGGCGATTTCATTTTCTGCCTGTGCGTGGCCTTTCAAATGAAATTCAACTTGATCCCAGGTTTTGAAATGGTGGTTGCTTTCCATTAACATTTTACAGAGGGCAGCTGTGGAGGATATAAACCCCGCAGATGACCCCAACAATCAAGGCGAAGATGAATTCGAGGAGGCCGAGCAAGCAAGAGAAGAAAATTTGCCAGATGAAAACGAAGAGCAAAAGCAGAGTCACCTGAAGCAGGGGAATGCAGAGGTGGAGGAGCACCTGGTGGTGAGCAGAGGCCGCTGGGAGCGGTGTCCCCTGGGTATCCTAATAAACGCCTGCTGTATGCAAAGGATGAGTCATAACCTGCACTGGCAGAAGGTTTGCCTCTCTGGCTGGTTTGCAGGCTGCTGTATGAAATGATGTGTCTGCACGCAGAGAGAGAGGGTGACGGACGGCCTGGGCTTCGTGTTGGGAATGATTACTCATTATTTCCCAGGCACTGATGCGTTGAAGGCACACTTTTCATGGCGGCCGGCTTGTCCTTTGTCCCTGAGTACTGTAAACCGTGTCTGCATCACTCAGGAACCGAGCCTCCCCTTTGTTTCCACAGATGGCCGGAAATCCAGACCAGCAGGAGGATAACGTCGATGAGCAGTACCAGGAGGAGGGTGAGGAGGAGGTAGGACGGTGGGACGCAGGGGACTGGTGACGCTGCCTGGTGCTCACGCGCACCCCCAGCGAACCTCAGCGGCAGGGGCTCCCCCGTGCTCGTGGGGAGGTGTTTATGGAAAGATGTAGGCAGGGTGAGAAAGGGTGGCTCCGGGGGAAACAGACCATGGCCGTGGGACATTGGTTAGAAGATGGCAATAGGGTAATAGAATCCCCTCCCTCTGGCTCTCATTAGGAATTTTGAATGAAGAAGACGTTTGGCTTTCCAAGAACAGTGGACTTAGGTGTATGTGGTCGTTGTGAGAATAGCTTCTGCTGTGTCTTTCCCCCTACAAGACGGCTTTGCTCCGCACATTGCGGGAGTCTAGGCTGACCCGGTAGCCTGGTCAGTGCCGGCCCCACAGGCTGCCCCACGGTGTCTGTTGGAGTGCTTCACACCCTGCTGCCGTTTAAGGTAGATTACGGGCTCTACTTTGAGCCTTTACCCTCCTAAGAATTCGGTTTCTTAATTAAATTTAGCAATAAAGAAAAGGAAAAATATGTAAAGAGTTCAGTTGAATAAAATGGATTTGGGTAGAAATTCTTAACATTTCGTTCTAGTTGGCTTTTTCGTTGTAAACTGCTTGCATTTCGTGTCAGTTAGGGTTAGTCACCGGGAGCCGCATTTGTGCCATTGACTGACGAGTGCTCGTGGTGGCAGCCGCCCTGTCACAGCATTTTCCTGGGAACGTGACATGGATGAGGCCAAGGCCCCGTGTTCGGATTCTCTCTGGACCAGTAAATGGTCTGGTAAATTAAATCCCTGTTGTAGAGATGCCTCTCAGCCAGGCATCTTACTAAGGTGTGGCTTTGGCCCTAAGGGGAACTACATGAGAGAATGGACAGATGACAACCTGAGCAAACCACCCCCCTACCTGAGAGCCTGCTCAGAACACCTGTGCTGCCGCACTCAGAGTACAGTCCCCACCTGAAAGCCTGCTCAGAACACCTGTGCTGCCGCACTCAGGACACAGTCCCCACCTGAGAGCCTGCTCAGAACACCTGTGCTGCCACACTCAGGACACAGTCCCCACCTGAGAGCCTGCTCAGAACACCTGTGCTGCCACACTCAGGACACAGTCCCCACCTGAGAGCCTGCTCAGAACACCTGTGCTGCCGCACTCAGGACACAGTCCCCACCTGAGAGCCTGCTCAGAACACCTGTGCTGCCACACTCAGGACACAGTCCCCACCTGAGAGCCTGCTCAGAACACCTGTGCTGCCGCACTCAGGACACAGTCCCCACCTGAGAGCCTGCTCAGAACACCTGTGCTGCCGCACTCAGGACACAGTCCCCACCTGAGAGCCTGCTCAGAACACCTGTGCTGCCGCACTCAGAACACAGTCCCCACCTGAGAGCCTGCTCAGAACACCTGTGCTGCTGCACTCCGGGCACAGTCCCCACCTGAGAGCCTGCTCAGAACACCTGTGCTGCCTCACTCAGGACACAGTCCCCACCTGAGAGCCTGCTCAGAACACCTGTGCTGCCGCACTCAGGACACAGTCCCCACCTGAGAGCCTGCTCAGAACACCTGTGCTGCCACACTCAGGACACAGTCCCCACCTGAGAGCCTGCTCAGAACACCTGTGCTGCCACACTCAGGACACAGTCCCCACCTGAGAGCCTGCTCAGAACACCTGTGCTGCCACACTCAGGACACAGTCCCCACCTGAGAGCCTGCTCAGAACACCTGTGCTGCCGCACTCAGGACACAGTCCCCACCTGAGAGCCTGCTCAGAACACCTGTGCTGCCGCACTCAGAACACAGTCCCCACCTGAGAGCCTGCTCAGAACACCTGTGCTGCTGCACTCCGGGCACAGTCCCCACCTGAGAGCCTGCTCAGAACACCTGTGCTGCCGCACTCAGGACACAGTCCCCACCTGAGAGCCTGCTCAGAACACCTGTGCTGCCGCACTCAGAACACAGTCCCCACCTGAGAGCCTGCTCAGAACACCTGTGCTGCTGCACTCAGGACACAGTCCCCACCTGAGAGCCTGCTCAGAACACCTGTGCTGCCGCACTCAGGACACAGTCCCCACCTGAGAGCTGCTCAGAACACCTGTGCTGCCGCACTCAGGACACAGTCCCCACCTGAGAGCCTGCTCAGAACACCTGTGCTGCCGCACTCAGGACACAGTCCCCACCTGAGAGCCTGCTCAGAACACCTGTGCTGCCGCACTCAGGACACAGTCCCCACCTGAGAGCCTGCTCAGAACACCTGTGCTGCCGCACTCAGGACACAGTCCCCACCTGAGAGCCTGCTCAGAACACCTGTGCTGCCGCACTCAGGACACAGTCCCCACCTGAGAGCCTGCTCAGAACACCTGTGCTGCCGCACTCAGGACACAGTCCCCACCTGAGAGCCTGCTCAGAACACCTGTGCTGCCGCACTCAGGACACAGTCCCCACCTGAGAGCCTGCTCAGAACACCTGTGCTGCCGCACTCAGGACACCGTTCCCTTCACTAGGTCTCCTTTCTCATTTTTGCTGCATTTGTCAGCTTTCAGAGCTAATGCTAAAATTTGTGCTTATGCCAGGAAAACAAAAGGATGTGGCTCTGTACAGCCGTTGGCAGAGCGCATCTCTAGTCACATGCACTGGAACTGGCTCAGTCTTGTTATTCTCTTTCTCACCCTGCTGTTCATCCCGAGCTCTCTTATCAGAAGAGGGCATTAGAGAAACTCGCGGCCTTGAATATGAAGACATTTGGCACGAAAAGATACTCATCTGGAGTTCTCTTGTAGCTGGATGTCTAGGTTAATAGTACTTCATTTCGTCATGGCAGATGCCAGGATCCTTTGAGGGATTAAAAGAGAAGAGGTTCACCTTGGCTTCTTTTTAAAAATTCGGAAGGATAAACATACAATTTTAACCAATATTTACTGGTAATTTTTTTTACTTCTATATTATGTCAGTTAGGGTGGAGAGAGAAATCCTGTGATCCAAGAGGGATCCAGGATAAAAGAAAAGAAAGGCAGAGACAAGGGGGAGGAGAGGTGACCAGGCAGAGGCCAGAGCCTGACCCTCGGCAGCCACTGCCCTGAGGCCAAGGCTCCTCCTCCAGGGGGCAGGACTGACCCGCAGCCTTTTCCTCTCGCTGCTCTGAGCCCGGTTCCTGCCCCGAACTCCTGTGCTTGCCCGTGTGTCCCCACTTTCTAACCCCCCCTCCCACCGGCTCCAGGTTGCCACACCCTCTCATTTAGGGTGTTGCCAGGCAGCCCGAGGACCCCGGCTGCCTTTCTTCTTCCCCGGGCCACTGTCCTCTGCCCCCGAGCATCCCTTGTTCAGGCGGTGTGGCCTTTTTCTGGTGGTTCCTGAGATAATGATTATTGGGTCTTCCCACCTCTTCCCACTGTTCCCAGTTCTTCCCTTGAGGAGGGTGGAGAAGAGTGTTTCCCAAACACCATTCAAGGACTAGTAACAGTCAGAGGCAAGGATCTCAGCAGGCGGGAGCACAATGAGAAAACTAAAGAGGAGTGCCGCGTGGGAGGGAGCAGGCTGTGTTCGTTCACAGGTGGGTGTGCAGGAGATTGGGGGCGCTCCGAAAGCCACGGAGTATGTGCCGTGCACTGTTATCTGCACCAAGCCTCAGTCTCCTGGCTGTCCCCGCTGATCACTGGGGTGGAAGGCTTCCTGCTCGCGTCACGTCGCCCGGGAGGACGTGCATCTGGGTAGGGCAGTACCTGTTCCGAGGTACGGCCCATCCGACTTGCGACTTGACCTCTAAGAGGACCCCAAACCAGTGTGATTTTAGGAAATTTGCACTGTCCCCGCCTTTTGTCGTAGTGTAACGGTGGTGGTCACCCTTCAGAGACAGGGAATGGACAAGCACGCGTTGTTTATTGTTCGGGATTCAGTGAAAGATGCCCACGTTCACGTGTTGCTGCTCACTTCCCAGGTTTTTCATCTACTTAATAAGCAAAAAGACAAGTTATGACCTTGCCCCAAAATGTGCTCGGTGGGCTCTAAAATTACTTAAATGTTCAAAAAGTTATGAAGACTGAAGGACTGCTTGAAACCTCAGTTTCCCCAATGGAACTGAAAACAGATGGGTGTGAACACTCGTGAGAGAGCAAGCACGAGGCTCTTTGGCTGCCCGCCTGTGAGTGACGCCAGCAAGCTGTCCAGACGGCAGAACCCTCCTGCTAAGCATCCTTCAGCGAGCAGCGGCCGGCTCTGCAGCTGACGTTGCTGAAGACCTTCCCCGGGTCACAGTCCAGCCAGCTGTTTGGATCCCAGCGTTCTTGACTGCTGTGGTCCAGCCTTCCGGTCCCTGGCTCATCTCATAGCCTCCTTGATGTGTAAAGAAAGGCCTTAAGACATACAGGGACAGGGAGGGGTAGCTAGCCAAAACTCACTGCAGACTCAGTAGACCTGTTTTGTTTTGTTTTCTAAGTTGTTAAAAATATTTTTTTAATTGATTTTTAGAGAGAGATGAAGGGAGAGGGGGAGAGAGAGGAAAACCCCCCCCACAAAACATCCATGTGAGAGGGAAACCTGAATTGGCTGCCTTCTGCGCGCCCCTTACTGCGGATCAAGCCCGCAACCTGGGCATGTGCCCTGATCAGAAATGAAGTCAGCAACCTTGCGATGCATGGTACAGTGCCAACCAACCGAGCCACTCCAGCCAGGGCACTCGATCTGTTTTGTTTGGGCTATTTATTAAACTTTGCCACATCACATAGGGACCATTTCTAAAATGCTTAAAACATCCGAATTCAGTGAACAAAAATGAGCAGCAGGGTTGGGAAATCTTTAACACACTGTTTGCATCACCTTTAACAGGACAATGAAGGGGGTGGACTGTGGAAGACATAATTGGTGTGTCTACATTGTAAAGAAGTATGAACATTTGGCTTCTGGTTATTTGTCTAAGCATATTTTAAAATTAGAAACAACATATCATTTTTTTCCTTTTCAGTAATGCCTCTAAGATGAACTTGAATGACTTTTGCCCCACACAGTAATAGAATATATTACTAGAATAATAGGGTGTATCTATAAATCTGAAAAAGTTTTTAAATTTTATTTGTGGCTTCCCTAAATTAAAGAGTAATTAAATCAGTACTTTCCACCTCAGGTTATATTGACATATGGTAGACAACCTACATTTTCTACAACAGATCCTAAGAAAGAGAAGAAATCTCATAAAAAGGGTGTTTATCACTCTAGCCAGAGGCGTTGTAGCCAGTATCCATGTCATTCAGGCGAGTGGCTCTCAGTCGTTGCTGTGACAAAAGACCACCTTGGACAGGGTGTGAAAAATACAAATACTGGTCAGACCTTGCCCTTGGAGGTTTTGATCTCATCTGTGATGAACCCTAGAAGTCAGAGTTGTACGCAAGCCCCCCGGCTGATGCTGATGTTTCAGGAGCACACTATTTAGAGAGACAGTCCTAAGACGGGTGTTGCAGGTGGACTTTGGGAAGTCTGACCCCCCTGAAACTTCTGTGAAAAATGGTGTGTATCTATACCCATTTGCTGTCAACTTTCTTTCCAAAGTCTTAAAAAAATCCGTGACTCTTCCTACTCCACACAACTAAAAAGCACTCATTTTTATCCAACCCTTTTATTTTACAGGTAAGAAATGTGAGCTTCAGAGTGGGTAGCTAAATTTTTAAAAGTCATACAGCTTGTTTTTGTTAGAACCATGATTAGAATCTACTGAGGTCTGATTTTAAAGGCTACCATAATTAAATATACCCAGCATGCAATATAACTAAATCATCGACGAGGCCAAGTTCTTCTTCATAGAAGTTAGTGGATGCAGAAGAATGATAGAATTAGAAAGTCAGCATTTCTTTAAGCCCTAATTTAAACAATTGATTTAAGATCAGTCATCAATGGATGATATCACTAGATGAATGGAAGTCAGGGAATTTTACCGTGGAGGGATCAGGCTATCACTGTAGGCTCACTGGCCCATCTTAGCCTCACTAAAAGTGGACAAATGTTATGTACCCTCTGATGTGATGACAGTATGAATTCTTTAGCATCACCTCTGAAAAACCTCCTGAACCTTGCTTTGCAAATTGAACCTAAATTCATCCAAGCCTTCTGCTAACTTGCTTTTGTAAGAAATGTCGAGGCTAAAGGAATGAGTTAAGGGATTCCTTAACGAAGCAAATAAATACAAAAAGTAGGTGTTTCTATAGAACAACAAATCAATAACATTGAGGGGGAAAAGAGAGGAGAACAGCCTCAGCTAGGTGTGGCCTTTGTTTGGATGATGACTAGAACAAACCGGCTGTAAATAGACATTTGTAAGACAATCAGGAAAGTGAAAATATGAACTAGACTAGACACTAGATGATACCATGGGATAATTTATCAGGTGTTTTAATGGCATTATGGTTATATAAGAAAAGTCCATTGTTTTTAGAGATGTATACTGAGATGGGTAGGGATGAAATGATATGATGTCTAGAATTTTGAAGAATAATTCATTACACAATAAAACCAATAGGTGATGCCAGGGTGGCAACATTGTGATGACTTTTGAACCTTGGTGATGGCTCTAAGGAGTCAGAAATTATTTTCTTTGTGTGTGCTTGAACTTTGTATAACGAAAATAAATGACCTCATTGTTTATAAGGCCAGGACAGTTGCGGAACCAAGGTTTTAATATCCAGGTTTGTCTGGCTCCAAGTCTGTGGTAGGGGTTGGCAAACTACTGGCCTCGACCTGTTTTGTAGTCTGGTTTTACGGGAAGACAGCCATGTTTTATTTTATTTTATTTTTTTAATTTACACATTGTCTGCACTGTGGTGGTAGAGTTGGGTGGTTGCTACACTCTATTGCTGAGAAAATCTGAGTATTTACTATCTGGCCTTTTACAGAACAGGTGTGCCAACTCTGATTTTATATATTCTTTCCACCATACTGCAGTTTCAGGACGGTTTCCCCCCAGCCTCAGCTAAGCCAGGCTTCGTGTTCACTAGTATATTGTCATTGTTAAGGCTGTGGAAGACACGTCTGTTCACTGGAATCGGCCAGGACACTCAAGGAATTTCATCGTTTCCATCCCAGTGTCCTGGGGGTGTTGTTATGAGGCTCTGTGGTGAAGGGCGGAATGATGCCGTGGACCACAGGCAGAGCCTGCTGTGCGACCTGTGTCTTCTCTAGCTCGCCCACCAGGACATGGGAATACAAAAGATGTGTTGTGTCTCTGTCCCAGAATGAATTTATTTGTGTCGTGTAGTTTAGGGGCTGTGAGTCCAGCTGGCATCGGGCTGGTTAGAGAGGTTCACGAAGCTGGGCTCTGTTGAGGACAGTGGTTCTCAACCTTCCTGATGCCACGACCCTTTAATACAGTTCCTCATGTTGTGGTGACCCCCAACCATAAAATTATTTTTGTTGCTACTTCATAACTGTAATTTTGCTACTGTTATGTCTTAGGCGACCCCTGTGAAAGGGTCGTTCGACCCTCAAATGGGTCGCGACCCACAGGTTGAGAACCGCTGGTCTAGGGCCTGCTCGAAAGTTCGTCTCTGTAGGCTCCTCATAGGCCAGGTTCGCTCCAAAGCTTGCTGGTAGGTCGTGGTTTATTCCTCTTGCACCCAGGCTAACCACCTTGAGGCAGCCCTGAATTTCTTGCTCCTTAATTAGAACACCTGCATACTTCCTTCCTTTGACCATTTCTGGGATTTTTAACACTCCCCACCTCTGCGTGCGCGTGCGCGCGCGCACACACACACACACACACACACACACACACACCAGGCAATTTCAGGTATTATTCTAGAAGACTTACTCTATACTGCTGTCCTTGGAGAGATCAGGTTTTCTTTTTGTACCAGGACAGTACAGTATGTTTAGTTGATGGTCAGCAATTTTTTGAAATGACTTAAACCTTTTGGCATATGTATGGTTTTCACAATAGCTAAGTTAGTAAATATTTTCTGACTCCTATATTTTGTGGAATATGATTATTAGAGATTAGCAAAAATATTTGAATGATTTCTTTGGTTTGCATTTTGAAAAAATAATTGGGACCAATGACAAAATAGTAATAGCATACATTACAGAAAACTATTAAAAACAGAAGCATCATGTTAGAATTACTGAAGAGATGTAGGGATTTGAGGCAGTTTAATAACTATTTTATGAAGAAATGGAAATGATTGTATTTTATGTTCTGGATATATTAACCAGAAAAGTTTATTTTTTTTAAATCTTCACCTGAGGATATTTTTCCATTCATTTTCAGACAGAGTGGGGGGAGGGGTGGAGAAAGAGAAAGAAACAAACAAACATTGATGTCAGAGAGACACATCAATTGGTTGCCTCCTGCACTACCCCGACCAAGGCCCGGGACTGAACTGCAACCGAGGCACGTGCCCTTGACCAGAATCGAACCCACAACTCTTTTGTTTTGGGGCCGATGCTCTAACTGCTGAGCCAAACCGGCCAGGGCCAGAAAAGTTTATTCTTAATTATAGAAATATATATACACATTTTTCTTCTATCTTACATATAGGTCATGGGGTCCGTTTTCTGTGCCTTTACAGAGCAGATATTTTTGCATTGATTCATTGATTCAACAGTATTTACTAAGCGGCTGCAGTGTGCCAGGTATGCATTGGAACGGAAGACAGCCGAGTCAGATATTTTGTAGTGTGTGTATTGCACACTTCTTCATAGCCCATACAAGTCAGGTCTGCAATCTTTTTTTAAATTTACTTTTAGTTTAATTTGTTGCTGCTACTTTGAATGAATGCTTCAGAAATCAGAATACGTTGTTTCAAGTGCTTAAATGATAAAGGTGTCACCTAGTATCTCTGGTTTGTTTTAGGTCCAGGAAGATTTGACTGAAGAGAAAAAAAGGGAACTGGAGCGTAATGCTGAAGAGCCCTATGGTGAAAACGATGAAAACGTACGAGCAAGGGTGTTGCCATTGCGCTCACTGCGCATCGGGGGAGATACGGGTGTACAATTGGACAGACACCACCCGGCATGTCCTGGGTGCCAGGGGGTCTGGCAGGCCGGCCTAGGCTCAGAACAATGTGTGACAGTATGAAGATTAGGAAAGACCGTAGTACTGCTGCCTATTGGGACATTCTTCTTCACTTCCTTCCTTCCTCTGAAAATGAGTAACTCCCCCCGCCCCTTTTTATAAAGAGGGAATTCTTTATCTCACTAACTCTATGCCCTGCCTCTTAGGTGTTTTTCTTTGCTCTTCTTTTAAGGCCGATGAGAAAAACACTGATGGAGAGGAACACGAAGTTCGAGAAGACAACCCCCCCAAAGGCCGGGAGGAGCACTATGAGGAGGAGGAAGAGGAGGAGGAGGACGGGGCAGCTGTTGCCGAGAAGTCCCAGCGAAGAGCTGAAATGTAGCTGCGCCCGCGTCCCAGACTGTGCTCCGCCGACGGGCTCCTTACACGCTGCTCAGAAATGAACCTGCCTACTGAACTCGAGGATATTTAATTACAAAAATTGGGAATTTAGACTTTTTTTAAACTTTTGTATTAGAAGTGCTCGTACATTTATATGAATATATTTTGATAACCTATGTTAGAGCTTATTTTATATTCAAACTAAACCTGAGCAAGAAGAAAACAAAGCAAAACTGAGGCCCCGAATCTCATTTAGCGAAGATTACGGGATGTTGCAAAGGACATCGGTTTTGTATGTTTCAACTTGTTACTTTTCTGTCTTCTGTTGTTGGCCTTTGATAAAATACAGGATTCCAAAGGAAGAAATACTGCAAAAATGCTGTGTAGACTTGAAGGAGAATGGCCAGTTTGCTAACTGTTCCCTTTTCGAGGTTCTTGTGTATAATTATGATAGAATTTTCATCCGTCTGTGTATCTTGAATAACATCCATGTACAGAGTGGCATTGCTTTTCAGACTTGTCAGATCAGTTAGAAAAATAGTGGGCTTTACTGAAAACTACAGCTATTCTTCTTGAAAGGAATTAAATGTAAATGTGAGATGGTACTAAAATTCATGGAACAGTAGTCTGGGCTTAGATATTTCAGTATTCCAACAAGGTGTGATGCCTTACTTAGTATATTAACCTTTTTGGAGGACTGACACGTTTAATAACTAATTTGCTGTGTATGGGTGTTATTTTCTACATGAGCACCCATTCTTATATTTTTCCGAAGCCACCTGGTGATATCCTTGTTTCATTATCTAGTTCCCTACTGTAATATGTATTTACCCTGTGTGCTCTGTACCTCAATGTGTAATCACTTTGATGACAAGTATGAATATGAAGGCAAACCAGATTGTACAATTGAACAGGATTATATTTTAAACTATATGGTGAGGTACACATGGTGGTAGGATAGACCCAGATGACTTCTCCGATGGCTGGGGTTGGGTCTGCATTATGCCCACAGACAGGCATTTTAGTGATGATGAATTATAAAAATTCCTTAAAATAAAGAAGTGAAAAATCAAAAATTTCCCTTGGAATAGAAACATTTTGGTCTCAAGCATAAAGATTTTTAGATATATAAAATTAGGTTATATAATTCGTGTGGTTTTGTAATAATACTCTCAAATTAATAAAAACAAATTTCAATTTCTACCATTGTTGTATGAATGTAATTTTATTTTTAGTAACCACATTCATGTATGGTTTTGATTGTCTCAGTTGAGTGATTGTGTATGTATGCATAGGATTGTTTGTTCAAATGTATTTTGGATTTTCAGTAATCATAAATCAAATTCTACCTTTATGTGTAAAAAAACCCTTTATGTAATGTAAAATGTGTAATATTGTACATAATATTCAGAATACAATTATTTTGGTAAATTAGTTTGTATTTTTAATGTCCCAGTTGCAGTATTTAATTATTTGAAACATTGAAACTTGGTAATAGTCAATAAAGCTATAAAAATAGAGTGATAAATATTTTAAAGTGTGTGATTTTTAATAGTTTATTATTTTAAATATTCTTTTCATAAAAGGAAAAAAATAAGAGGTACCAATATATGTTAATGAATTAGAAAATGCCTTTCCCGACCAGTTATTTTTCCTTATCTTTTTCTCTACTTGATTGGATGTGATTTTTTTCCCCACCTTGTCCTAAAGAAAGAGCTAAGAATTTTTACTTTATTTGGGCACATCCTAGGGGAAGAAAAAAGAAACAGGTCAGGAAATGTACATGTGTCGTGTGTACACACACAATAAACAATAACAAAATGTGTTAAATCCCTGCTAAGAAAGCAACAATCACCAACCATACTACTCTCAGGATGACACAAGTTCCAGGGCCATTTTAGGTAATGTTTGAAGAGAACTGATCAGCCAGAGCTGATCTACATTAATGAGATGGGCAGAAGTAAGTTGTCACTTGTATTCATCTTGCCAATTAATCTGTGACATCTGGTGCAACCAATTAGTCAAAGGATCTGGTACCAGTGACGTAATCATTAGGGGAAAGGGCACATTTATTAGGAACAAGTACATTGGCACCAAAAAACAACATTATTACAGATATAATGACTGGATAGCTGCAAGAGTGATTGAAAAAGATCTAGAAGTGAGTATGGTCCGGCCACATGCGAGTCACAGTGACTCACTTTTATAAAGGAAAATTACCGACATTTACTGAACGTCATCGCACCAGGAGTGTGTTAATAAGACCCACTTGATCCCACAGTGCTCCTTTAAGGGTGATGGGGTTCCCCTGCCCCCAACTGAAGAAGGCTGTTCTCCAGGAGTATTAGACGTCATGTAACTGCTTTGAGTTCTTTGTTTTATTTTTAATCCTCACCCGAGGACATTTTTTTGTTTTTTTGTTCAGGTAGAGCGGGAGGGAGAGAGAGGAACAGAGAGAGAGAGAAACATCGATGTGAAAGGGACACATCGAGTGGCTGCCACCCGCACGACCGACCAGGGCCGGGGACAAACTGCAACCGAGGTACGTGCCCTTAGCGGGAACCGAACCCGGGCCTCTCAGGACCGCAGGCTGACGCTCTAACCGCTGAGCCAAACCGGCCAGGGCTCTTTGTTTTATTTTTAGTCCTTATATTACGTGTGGTACATCCATACCGTGGGCATGTTGCATAGCTATTTTTAAAAATGAGATCAATTTTTATTCTTGAAACATCTTTGGCTTCTATCATACTATCTGTTCCTACTTATCATCTTGGCTACTCTTTCTCAATCTTTTTGCAGGTTTCTCTTCTTATGCCCTCCCCTTAAATATCCGTGTTCTTCAGGCTTTGCCCTAGACGTCTTCTCCATGTTTACCCTTCTTCCACCCATATCGTAGACACATCTAATCCATGTTCCCAGCCTAGCTTTCTCTGACCTGTCCTACCTCAAATTTACCATTTTCAAAGCCGAATTTGCACTTTCCACCCCAAATCCACGTTTCTTTCTAGGTTCTATACCTCAATTCACTAAATTTACCAAAACAAAAAACAAAGTTTGTCTTTGAGTCTGTCTTCTCTCCCTTTAGAAGTTATCAAAATGTCCTCAAATTTGCCCATTTCTCTCCATCCCCGCTCTCCTGGTTCAGGTCCCTGTTATCTTTTACCTCCATCATTATAAAATCATTTAACAAAATTGCTATTGCACATGGGAAAAATTCCAAACTTCTTAATATGAGCTACATAATTCTTCATGGTCTGGCCTCATCTTTGACTTCTTCAGCCTTATAATTGACACTGTACACTGAGTCATAATAAATGTGACTCATCTTTGTCAAGCACAGTTCTCTCCTAATGTCTATAAGCTACCCTCACCTCTGTCTTTGGGTGGAAAGTCAACTCGAACAGAACCAATACTAACCCAACTTCTTGGACAAAGCACTTGATCTGAGATGGGCACATGACCACAATTTCTTCCCTGGGACTTTTTGTGGAGGGCAATTCCCCACAGAGTTTCTGCATCTTGCAGCAGCTTTTCTCCTGGACTATCTTTCCTAGGATACTTGCCTAGCAAACAGCCAGGAGTTAAAGCTACTATCCCCTTCTGGATCGGAGGCCATATGTGTTCCCTGACTGAGATAATAAAGATAATGTCTCCCTTGGGGGCAAAGTCGGGACAGGTTTGCTAGCAGTCCCTTTATAAGATTGAGAGTTTCGTAAGATTGGTGATCCTTGGCTGGAACACAAGCTCACTGTGTGGGCAACATCCGCCTGGGGTGCCCCACGAGGTTCCTACGACACTTGGGGGTAAGGGGGCACTGGTGTGAACATGAAACTCACATTGCCTGCTGTGCCATGAGAAATATTTGTTGCTGAGCCAATAGTTGAGAGTGTTCTACAGTATCCATGAGACTAGCAGGTTAGTTTGCAAGGTGGGCAACACCTAAGACCCTGCACAAATGGAGTTTTGCAGGCTGGAGCAAATGGAATATAGCAAGCACCTCTCTTCTCTCTCCAATGGCAAAGATGCTGTGTTGTAAATTCAGGACAGCTGGTGTCTACTTTCTCAGTCGTGTGGAGAAAACAGTTTATACAAGTAGAGAACAGATGACCTAACCCCCAAAGACAAGCAAAAGACAGAGGCAGAGATGCATTTTTTTCAGTCCCTGTATCTTGCCATCCCTGATGCCAGCCAAGTCCACTCATAGGTTAATTGTAAAAGTAGCCCGAGGGGTATGGATCATTATCTAGGGTCACATTCTGAGTTTCATATATTAAGAAGGTGTGTTTTAATTTTTAAAAAACAAATGGAATGGAAGTAAAAAAAAAAAAAAGTGAAGTCTCAGTCATAGGGTTTTGAGGAGGAACCAAGACATTGGAATTATTTGACCTAATGGTCAGAGGAAGATGTAACAGTGTCTGTCTGTCTCTTTAAACTAAAGCATCAATTGTAGCATCAGGAATAAAGTTCATGATAAACAAATGAATGGAGTTGTGAAATCAAGAGAGTGGAATCAGGATATATTAAATAATCAATTACCATTTACAAGAGGCTGACTAAACTGAGGAATAGATGCAATGTACTCGTAGAATTTCCTTGGGTCGTGTGACCATGTGGGAGGGCTAGTTGTGGGGGATGAGCACATGGTCAGGCTACGCGCTCGTCCACTGATTGTCCTCTGGTCTGCACACAGTTTCCTCTTCTGCTCTTCATGTGAACCCCAAACCAATCACTATACTCTGTCTTCTTGGATTTCTCTACTGAGGCCGGATAAGAAAAATGCTCTTTGGCTGCTCTGGCGATGGCAGGGAGCATACACCTGGGGCTGCCAGGGTCATACTCCCCGTGACGTGGAGAAAACCCAGTTGCAGCGGGAAAGAATGAAGCCAGCACAGAAAGAAAGACAGGACTGGGGTCTTGGTAGAGAAGAAGTGGGAAAGGGAGGGAGGCAGACATAAAGAAGGAGGATGGTGTTTAAATTTCCAGGCTCTGATATCCTTTGATTTTATTTGACAAAAAGTCTTCCTCCCTTTTTTTTTTCTTAAGCAAGTTTGAGGTTCTTTGCTATCATGCCCAACCTAAAGAATACTGACGTCAGCATTATATTGTTCTTTATGTGGAAGAACAACCGGAGTGGGGGAGGAAATACCTTTCATTAACTTTTAGTCGCAAGTTTTAGCAAATAACGCCATGCTGTTTTGCTAGTGCCCTGATTGCCATGTTTTCTCTTGGATCTGGCTTTCAGCCCCGATAATCTGTGACAAAGTTTAGAGATGATTGTAATAAAGTTAAAAATACTTGCATATCCTCATTCTTTAGTCTATACCAAAGACTGGCACTTTTTTTCTGCAAAGGTCCAGATAGTAAATGGTTTCATCCTTGTGGGCCATAGAAACTTCTCACTCTGCCGTTTACTGTGAAAGTAGCCAAAGACACCGCGAAAAGGAATGAGCATAGCTGTGTTCCAATACAACTTGATTTACACGAGCAGAAAGTGTGCCAGATTTGGCCTGCCGGCTGTAGACACCTGCTCTGTGTGATGCAAATGCTTGCGATGAAAGCAATGATTTTAACAGAAAATTGTGTATTTATGAGATCTTCAAGTATCCAGGTTTTTCTAGTTCTCTCCCACAAATCTTTCTATTTTGCGTTGGCAAGTGCCCAACATTATCTTAGCTGCTGCAATAATATACTATTTTAAGTAACTGGAAATGAAATACTTTTGTCCTTTACCATATTGGCTGACCTTGTTCTCACCATTCCCTGTATGGTACTAATGGAGCTTGAAATTAAATGTCATTTCTGTTTATCTGTTAACACATGCACAGCATTTCCCATAAAGCACATGTCTCTTAAAGAACTGATTCACTGGAAAGCATGGATTTGAGCAAGATGAGATGACTTCCTTTGGTCTGGTATGCTTTTCCTCTTTTTAAGACCTAAGGTATGGGAACACATAATCATGCCTGCCCAATAATATGTTAACAATAATCACATTTGTTATCTCAACTCAGATTTTTGGGGCTTCTGTAGGTATCTGATTCCTGTTAAGTTTATGCATCCTAGTGGAATTAGGTTATTTTTTCCATAAAGGCAATTAAAGCACCTTTTATATTCCCTTAACCTTCACCAATCATCTTCTGCTGTGGTTTGAAGATTTTTTTCACGAAGTCTTTGAGAGTCCTCCTTTCAAGAGGTGAAGTCTGGTTTCCATTCCCTTGAGCATGAGCTAGACTTTGTCACCGGCTTCTAACAAATACAGTGACAGGGAAGCGAGGGTGTGTGAGTCAGAGCTGGGTCATGCGCACGGAGCAGCGTCCTCCCTGCACTGTCCGGGAAGCCAGCTACCATGTCCTGAGGATAGTCAAACAGCCTCACCTTGGGACCCTCGTCCATGGGGCAAGACA